AGTTGTTTACTATACTGTGTAATACCTAGTCCCATCTATCATACACACATTACATGTTGGAGTCCATGCTGCAGCTAGCTACAGATTTATAGCGTGCTACTCTTCTCTCTTTTCTTTTATCTCTTTAAAATATATTTATAGCGCTATTGTACCTAGTCTAAGCATGTAGTAGTAGCATTGATGCTTCTAGTCGATGCGATGATGACTTTTTTTTGGTTGGTTGCAAATGTGCCATGTTGCCTGTGCACACTTGTGCATCAGGGTTAATCAGGTTGTCGATCTGCGTCTCCCTTTGCCTTGTGTGAGATTGTGGCGTTGCTCGCAGCGTGTCCCCTGTGCAGCAAGGCAAGACAAATTATGAGGTCATTTGATTAACTTCCCAGTTGATGTGGCGATGATGTGGAGTGATTAATTTGTACATCGACATCCACGTTATTTGTCGGCCTGGCCGCTGATTAATGCCATCATCAGCACGTCACCAGGTCGGGGTAAAGCGAGAAATCTCAGCAGCCACATGGATATAATATAAGTACGCCCATATATATGTCACTGTTACGTGTGTACCATGTGAATTTATGAGTACCATCTGTTGAACATAAAACAGATGAAACGCAATGCTATTTTCAATTGTGCGATTGATTTAATATGGAGGTCGATATAATCTATGGTCAATTAATTTATCTAGTTAACGAGAAGAGTCCCGCTCTTTTTTTTACCTCATGAACGTAGAAAGACATTATTGTCAAAGAAATTTCTAGAGAAAGAATAAAAAAATATTTCGCCAATCACAATATCTGACGGCCTAAAGTTTTCGGAATAGAAATTGGACAGTCCATGTTTAGTAGATGACGTGCCTTATTATTTTATTTAAGGAAAATTAGTTTTTTCACTACTTTAGATATGGCAGCTCCCCTCCATTTGTGTATAGATAAATAAGCTCAGGTGAAAAAAATTCCTATTCAAATTAAGATATTATTATTGTAGACGGTGGGATATGTAGTCCCGTTGATCTCTCTCTTCATCTTATTTTCTCTTGTCATTCTTCAACTGTGCGCCATGCAAAGGCCGGCCAAATGTGTAAACAGTATCTATATTCCCTTCGAAAATTTTACATACGGATTTAAGCGTATTGATTAGTTAAGTATTAACTTAAAAAAACTTTAAAAAGATAATACAATTTTATAAATTAAACAACTTGATTATAAAAACAATTTTTTTTAAAAAAAATTACTCATTGTTTAGTAATTTAGAAACATACACGTACGTAAGAGACGTGAAAGTAGAAGTTGAAAAAGTGCAACGCTGAACATCACCCCCACGGCTAGGGCAGGGCCAGGGGCCAGAGAGCCAGGCAGCCAGCCACCACGTTACGTACGGCTCGTCTGCATTTCCGCAAAACGCCGACGATGTGTCGATCGATCGCTGCATTGCCGGTGGTCCTAAAAATCCCAACCCTGCTGCCCTGCATCCCATGCCATATGCCAACCCGCACGCACAATGATTCCGATCGATCCATCCATCCACAGCGCGCGACGCGTACGTACTTCTCCTGATCTGCACGATCGATCGAGCTGATGAGCAACAGCCAGCCCAGCCGCGTACTGCAACAACTACTATACTATCCCTCTCGATCGCACGTTTCACCGGGAGCTGGAAGGTGAGTGCGATCGAGCGTCGCAACAAGGGAAACGGCCGAATCGATCGATCGATCGATTGGTTGATTATTAGCGTGTGGTGATGGCGCATGCATGTCAGCATGTGTGTGGCTGGCTGTGGTTGGCTGGCTTTCTCAGCTCGTCGTAACCGGAGGGATAGGTTGCAGCTGCTAGTTGCTGCCTGTCCTCCCTGTCGACTGTCGATCGATCTGGGCGTCCTATAGCGGACGGAGCGTGCGTGCGCATTTGTTGGCCGCATGCCCTGTCCGCCGGCTGTCGATAGATCATCCAAATGATCCTAGTAAGTTAACACCGGTGGTGTTCTTTTCTCTTTTAACATGAAGATTAAGTTTTTTATAAAAAACGAGATGTTATTAACGTATGATTGATTGAGTTTTAATTAGAGTAAATTGCATCGGCAATACAATAACTTGTCAGGTGGGTGCAATCTAGTGTATGAACTTGTAAAATGCTCGTTTTGGTACATGAATTTATCTTGTGCGTGCGAAATAAGGTCAAAAGGACATTACATGACTAATTTTGTTGATTTATGTGCTGATTAGGATGCTACGTAAACACACACACACACACATATATATATAGTGATTGCAGAGAAAGATATTAAAAACCGAACAATGATACAAGGGTTAGAAACATACGAAATTCAAAATAAAGTAGAGAACAAATTTATAAATATAGCATGTTTTATGCATACTCACTATACGTATGCACGCCATATCCTAATTAACATCACCTAGGTGGAATTAACCTTGGCAAGCCATGTTGAACCTAGTTCACACGGATTAGATAAGTTTGTGTACCAAAACGAGCATTTTACAAGTTCATATACTAAATTGCACCCACTTAATAAGTTTGTGTACCACCAATACAATTTACTCTTTTAATTATTACAAACTTAAAAAATAGATTAATATGATATTTTAGAGCAACTTTCATATAGAAAGTTTCGCACGAAATGCAAGAGTATCAGAATCACATTATAAGTGATTCTGATACTCTTGCATTTCTATTATTAATGTTTTACAATTAAATCTCCTCCTTAATACGAAACGGTAAAAAATTCATACAGTTCGAACAACTACTACAAGAAGAAGGGTGGAGAGCAGATTCAAACAAGAGAGAAGCTGCTAATACATATATATATATATATATATATATATATATATATATATATATATAATAGTCCACACAGTAAATGTACTCCAATTGTTTTACTAATTACAAAATTTAACTTTTTCCTTCTATGATATGTCATTAAGTGTCACAAGCAATCTAGAGGCACGGTCCTCTGCAGGTATTACGCATGCGAATTCCTCAGGGTTAATGGGAAATAAAGGGTTAACGCAGAGGATGTAAATCTCTCGACTCAACGTATAAGTGCATTGGAGAAATGCACATTTAGAACCTACTAATATATATATTGTGGTTCTTTCATGCATGCAGCTGCCTAGAATAGAATATCAAACAAGCTTTGACGATACATGCATTACAAATGTGCAGCGCGATCTCTGTCACTTCATCCACCGTGAGTGCTGTCATATCAAAGGATAGTTCTTCGACCCAGAGAGCATCCTGGCTACAAGATAAGAATACAAGAATCTTGGGAGTGGAACAACGCGGTGCCATAATATAATTAGATAGTGTATTCGAAGTGACAATGTTATAAATATTGTAACATTTTGACGACACTTTTCACTTATGCAATATATGTATATTTGTTAATATCAAATGTTTTTTAGTTACTAATATTTTTTATGCATCAATTAATTAATTATTTGGAAAATTATTTATCACAAATTATTATTGTAGCATTTTTTTAAAAAAATTTTGTACCTATTTTCGCAGGCAGATCAATCACATTTTTTCTGGCGCACTGAATCTATTTTCCTAGGCGGCACCTCTAGCTCCAGTTCGCCTACGATAATGGTCTTACTAGGCGGACCGCCGGCCTGCCTGCGAAGATTGTGAGGTATAGGCGGAGCCAGCGTCCGCCTGGGAAGACCCATTTCCCCCGCCTGGGAAAAATACTTTTTCTAGTAGTGCATAGAGAGAGTCATCCACCATTCAAGGGGCAAAAGATAAACCATACTAGCATGATAGCAATATAGGATCTCACAAGATTGTTTTGCTGAGGTGTATATATATTCTGGTGAAAAATTTTCCTCTAGGACATGACACATCCTTTGAAGCAACATTGGGGGCCAGGGGTGGATGAGCCTGCCCCCATGCATGCTAGTGATGAGCAACAACAAGTTAAAGGATCATAGGGTGGCTAGAAAAGGCTGCCCATGCTGACCTGTTCTTGTTTATAGTGGTTGCTGACCCAACAACATTTCGAGCTCGAGGTCTCATCACCAAATCATCATGCCGCGGCCGGGGCATATATACCCCTCCTACACACACGCGAAGACCTAACAAAGGGGATCTTTCAGGTAAAAAGAAGATGAAATAATAATATCCGCGGTGCATTTGATTCCCTCCTGGATTTTCCATGCTTCTTTGTTCCTCTCTCTCTCTTTCTCTCTCCCTCTTGGGTCTCTTCAGGATGCAATTTTTCTCAAGCCAAGTGGATAACAATCATAGGCCTGCTTCTCGATCGCGCATTAAAGAAAGGGAGATATATATAGTGCATGGTGATGGCCTCTTTTGCTATTTGTACCATGAAAACTATGATGTGCACTATTGTCATAAGAGATGCTGATTTCAGTGAACACAAATATATACATTTTCAACCAATGAGATGCTTGGAAAGAAAAATATTGTCAACTCAAAGTTTAAAATTTAACCACTAAAGTGACTACAAGATAATCTTTTGTCTATACCTTAATTTTTGCTAAACACTTGGAAATTCCTATATTTTAGAATGGAGCGAGTATACTTGCAAAATCATTTTGTCAAGTGGTTTTACGGTCCTTAAGAACACACCATAAGGTACAATTATTTTTAGTATTATTTTTTTACCTTATTAACACTACAAAATATGGTGCCTTTGAATCACAAAAGTCTTGTTTGTTAATATATAATTTTTCATGAACAATTTGTTCGCACAAATAATATACTCTATAAAAGAGGAAATTGGGGTGGCCAATAGTTCTAACTAGGGGTGAAAACGACTCATATATGAATGAACAGTAGTTCTACGGTCTACCACATTTGTTTTCATATATACCGGAATCATAAACAAATACAGAAACCTAGACTATAATAATGGAAACGAAACGAATATCATTGAATATAGATACGAAGCGAATACAATGTCGATTATCGTTGATATATGAGTTCCCTGCATCAGCATGTTCAGCAAAATTATTGAGGAAATGTGCATGAAGTAAATTGCACTCCATCCATTCACCTTACTCCTTACATAAGTATATAAACTGTGCAGTTCCTATTTATTTTTAATAATTAAGCTTACAACTACATGCCTCACCCAAAAAAAAAACGGAGAGAGAGAAAAGATTACAACTACATGGAAGCCTGGAAGGTACACTTGGCCTTGACACTGTAATTGAAAAGGAGAAACAAGAAGAAGAGACAAGCAAAGAAACCTGCATTCTCAGGCCTTGGGCAAGCAATGCAAGCAAGACACCCAAGAAGAAGAAGTACAAAAAACCTAGTAGTAATGGCTACTGGTTGCGACGCTAATGCCGCTCGGTGGTGACGCCTCTGGCCAGCGGCCACAGCTTGCTGAGCATCCGCTTCGGCCTCGCCGCCGGGATGGCGCAGAACGCCCTGAACCGCAGCGATGCGCTGCGCGCCAGCCCGGCCTGCTGCCTGCGCGCGAACTCCTCGTCGTCGCCGCCGCCGCCGTCGTGGTCGTCGTCCTCCTCCAGCTTCATCCGCAGCGTGGCGATCTTGGACGCCGCGCGCCGCAGGCCCTCCACGCTCCAGTCGTCCCCGGGGGACGCGCCTGCGGCGAGCGCGCGCAGCCGCTGCTCGTCCACGCGGTCCGCCGCGTCGTCCTCCTGATCCGACCCGGACGACTTGGACTGCAGCAGCGCCCTGATGCTGCCCGGCAGCTCGGCCGCGGCGTGCGCGCCGCCCGCCATCGCCGCCGCCCGCGCGTGCTCGAAGAAGAGCACCTGCACCACCACCCGCAGCGGGAGGAGCTCGTTCTGCGCCGCGTGCGCGCACGCCTTGTCCGACAGCTTCCTGCAGTTGATCACCCTGCACAGCCGCTTCCTCGCGCTCTTGCTCATCTCCGAGTGCACCTGTCACCCAAAAACAAAAACAAAAACAAAAGTTAACCACAAATTCAAATCCAAAACCAGAACAAGATTGATATCAAGTTAAATATTAGTAGAATTTTGTAATGTTTGTGGTATTCAAATATATTCTCACCTTGAGGTAAGTGTCGACGACTTTGTAGAGGCCGTCGTGCTCGGGGCGGGCGGTGTCCGGGACGGCCTCGGCCATGGCGAGCAACTTGTCGAGCGGCATGTTGGGGTCCCTGGCAACCTCGATCAAGAAGCCGTCGACCAGCCTGCCCACCCTGACGAGCGCGTCGGGCGACACGGGCGCGGCCGACGACGACCGCCGCGCGGCGCCGTCGAACCCGACGCTCTCGGCCGACCGCGAGCGCCGGTGCCCGCCGGAACGCGCCGGGCTGTCGTCGTCGTCGTCGGGGCTCACTGCCAGCGCCACCGGCGGCGGCGGCGCGGCGGCGTGGCGCAGGGCGAACTCGTCGAGGATGGCCGCCACGGCGTCCACGTCGTACAGCGTCTCGGACACGCACGACAGCGACGGGATCAGGAGATCGCCGACGGTGGCCTCCTCGAGCTGCCACGCCACCCTCCGCACCAGCTCCGCCCTGGACGTGGCGGACGCGCTGAGGATGTTCGCCGCCTTGAGGAGCTTGAGGAGGAAGCTGCAGGAGACGGCGTCCCTCTCCGCCGGGATCAGGCTCACGATCTTCTCGAGGAGGAGGCGGTGCCTCGTGGCGATCTGCTTGACGCTGGCATTGCCGCCGTCGCCGCCATTGCCGACCCCGTCGAACGGCTGGTCGGCGCCGACGACGATCCCGTCCTTGGCGACGTTGGGCAGCCACCGGCGCGCGTACGCCTTGAGCGCGTCGCCGACGGTCTTCTCGTGGACGGCGCCGGTGGCCTTGACGGCCACCATGATGCGCCAGAACAGGTCAACCCCGAGCTCGGCGACGTCGTGCGCCCACCACGGCGACGCCGACGAGGAGTGCGCCGGGAGGGCGGCGGGGCTCGCGATGAGCGCCGCGACGGCGTCCACGCACCGGGAGGTGAGGCCGATGTCCTCGCAGAGCGGCGCGCAGTGGCGCGTCGAGTTGAGCACGGCGAGCGCGTCCTTCCATCGCCGGAGGAGGCAGGAGGCGAGGAACGCGTCGAGCTTGGCGGCGAGGTTGCCGCGGTCGGCGGCCTCCGACATGCCGAGGTGCGCCGCGGCGCAGCGGAGCGGGACGAGGTTCCGCGCGCTCACCGTGACGGTGATGCCGTAGCAGAACTTGGCGCACGCGTCGAACGCCTCGACGCCGCCCGGGAACCCCGGGAGCTCGATCACGTCGCCGCCATTGCCGCCGCATCCGGACTCGGCGCACAGCGCTTGCAGAAGCAGGCATTTCGACAGCAGAGGAAACTGTCAAAAACAAATTCCAAACAAACATCATCAACAAATCCTTCGATATCAAAACAATCCAAACATGCAACCAAATCCAAAATTCCCCTAAAATTCACGATCTAATTATCACAAAAGTTGCAGAAAAGATCCGTTCTAGAACCACAGCGAAACAAAAAACAACAACAATCTTTCATGTCCCATTACCTTGTGAAGCTGATACAAGCAGTCACCCACCAAGATTTGCAGGTCAGTGGCGACCTCTGTGCAGACAGACCTGTGAACATCACAACAAACACCCACAAAAATCAGGCAACCACGATTCAATCACCTCAGACGACAGGCAAGAATCCCAGGAACTGAAAGTCTGAAACCATGCCAAGATTGATTGATTGATTGATTCCACAAATCAGGATTTCTCAAGAAAAAAACACCTCACGGATTCGTTGGAGAAGAAGGTGTCAGGCCGGGTGCCAAGTTTCATAAACTTCATCTTGGGCGAGCGAGCGAGCGAGAGTCGCAGGGCTTCTCTCACTTGCTAAAACGGGAGGGTCTGAAAGTTTCACTGGGAGGTTGGTTATAACCACTGGCTTGGCTGGCTGGCTAGGCCCCTGACTTTCTGTGAGCCCTTGGAAATGGTTTCTTGGTGGCTCTACTTATATCATGATGCCCAAGTGGTTGGGGAGGAGAGAGAGAGAGAGAGAAGCAAGGGCCAAACAAGGAAGATGCAAAAAAGAAAAAAAATCTTTTTTTTTGGATAATGGAAGTATTCAAAATGTTTTTTCCGATTACGTGTACGACATGCAACACCACACTCACATCCGTGAAAAGCGTCCACTAACACATGCTCGGAGAGATAGAGATCAGCGGCAACTCCCTAGCCTTGCTAACAATGTTTTTTTTTTTTGAAAGGCCAAGAATTTCACTAATTTAGTACACTAACATGAGGTGTTTTTTTTTCTGGGATTCAAGGGCGAGGGAGTGGGAATTTGCAATTCAAACTATTCATATACCAGACTGTCATTGATGAACTCTGATGAGTGCTAGCAAGGGTATTGATTAGGATTTGGGACTTGAATTGGAAGGGGACATGTGAAACAGGGACCAGAGTGGCATGCAAAAGTCAGGATGGAGGGGCTCAGAAATGAGTAGGATCTTGCAGGTTTTTGCTGGGGATCAGATGAGCATGATGGGCTCCTAGATACAGGACTCGGTTGGATCACTAGTTAAATGTTCTCTTCTAATGCAGGCCAAAGTTACTTTCACATCGATCAGTTTAATTCTATTCTGAATCGAGAAAAAAACATCTTGCATTCTAAGAAGGCCCTGATAATTTTCTTTTGGAAATATCATTGTCATACAGTGGTCAATAACTGAATTTACCATTTTTTTTAATAATGGATTTTCATTAATCTGGCCTCTATATCCACGAAGGATATACACAGCCAAAAGGATACAATAGTACTTAGACTCACGTCTCAACAAGGAAAAGAACACAACCAAAATAGAAAAGAAAACCAAACGACTTCAGCACATCCTGCTTTTCTGCTTCCATATTCTCCTAAAACAGCTAGATTTGACGAGTGAAAGTCTACTAGTCGCTGTCGCCCCTAGTGCACCGTTGATGAAAACCTCCATTTGTGTCATCTTCATCAGTTTCAGGTGAGCTGACGTCACACGCCGCTTATAAGCCCACTCTCAACCACCATCATTCGTCGTATAGTCGGAACTAGCCAACTAGACACGAACCGACGGGATCGGCTTCCACTTTACCGGATTCCTAAGGATCTACTATCCAAAGTGCTCAGACCGCCACCGTCTTGAGCCACCGCAACCCCTAGAGCCGCCGCCGTCCTGGGCCACCGTAGCCCCTAGGGTTGCCGGCGCCGACGAGAGCCACCACCGCCCCTAGGGCCACCAACGCCAACGGAAGCTGCCGCCGTCCTCCGCCGCAGCCTCTAGGGCCACCGGCACCGACGGGAGCCACCGCCGTCCTGGGCTGCCGCAACCCCTAGTGCCGCCGGCGCCGACGGAAACCGCCATCGTCTTCCGTCGCAGTCCCTAGGGCTGCCGGTGCCGATGAGAGCCACCGCAGCCCCTAGGGCCACCAACGCCAACGGGAGACGCCGTCGTCCTCCGACGGGAAACTGAATTTACCATTATAATCTTAATTAAGTCATCAAGTGTATGCAAAAAGTGGGGTTAGCAGTTTGTTCACAAGGAATTTATGTCCAACATTAAATTGATTGATTGATTGTGTTAATTACTCAGATAACCTATAGCTAGATTAATTAGCTACGTTTGCGTTTGGTCGTGTTTTCATTAGCAGCTACGGTTAGGCGCGACATAGGTAGGTTAGCTACTTAGCGTTTGTTAAATCAAATGGAGTGGATGTGGAGCACCTCTGGATAAATTTTTCTATCCAATTCTTGTCACCACTTAATTAAAGACGCAGCAATTAGTAAATTAAATGGTGGGTCTGAACTCCAGTCGAAAGGAAAAAGGTCGCACTGTCTGCGACCATAAAAGTTCTACTTTAATTAAGAGAAATGTATATTTTTCCCTTTTTTTTCCCATATGGAAGTTTAAATGAAAATAACATGTGAACATCTGCACTTGATATCAGGTTTATTTCATTATCTAAGAAAATATTGTGTTTATACTAAGATAGATCGCCTTTTCATAGGAGTGAAATTGTATGGTTTTGTTGTTTGGTTGGTTAGACGAGTCCAAAGTACTAGTAATTTCTATACCGCCCTTGGAAATGACTAGTACTACCAAATATGAAGATTTGGAATGCAGGTTGTTTCGAAAAAAGAATTAAAATGCAGGTTAGAAGTTTGGTTATATTGTATATACAATTAGTCATGGCTCAAGCTAATTATTGAGGCTGCCCGTTTATTTCCATAACCATTGTATCGGATCAAGCGCCTGCCCGCCACTTGTGATTTTTCCTCTTTCTGAATTTCTGACATAGAGGCAGCAAGATTCTTCCGTTTCAGGAAAATTCAGAGCTCGCACTCCCATAACTAACGAAATGTCCATGTTAAAAACTGCTCCATGGCTTGAGCTCTACTACTAGTCCGAGGGTTTGACCTAGCTGTTCAAAGGTTCAGAAACGCATGGTTAATTTCCTATAGCCATTAACTGGACAAACTCATCGGTTAATGAGCTGAAACACATTAGTTTTATCAGAGCTTGCCACGCCCTGTCTGCAAATCTGGCGAGCAAACACGAAGATTATGGGTGGATAATTAAGAAAGGAAAACTTGAGTGATACGATTGAATGGAACACCTGAAGGTCGTCAATTCTGTCCCTCATGTTAATCTAGTATTAATCTTCCATGATAGTGTGGCTGCAGACCATCATTGGTTATAATACTGATTCCCTACGCTGAGCTCAACATCTCTCAAGCCGGTTTAGTTTATGCGAATGGCACCTGAAATCTTGCTTTGGAGTTCAAGGGTTCATCATTGCAATCTACTTCTCTACAAAGGCAGGGCAACCATTTCCTTTTCTTTTTGTTTGAGGCTTTCTTTTCCCTATCTTTTGTGCAACTAAACATTTGCATTTCATTTCTTTTCATGGCATTATAAATTCAAAATCTCCATCTAATTGCGTAGGGCGCCACATAATCAAGAGGAAAGCAATAGTGAAGCTGGCCATGTCTGACGACTGACGTTATATAAATGCCCTGGTTACATAGTCTGATCCAAGTCCTGTGCGACGTTGCAGAGCCATAGTACACAACAATAATAAGTCTATTGTATTAAAAGGAGAAAAAGGTCACTTGTGTAAAATAAATAAATAATCCGGTGATTAATAAAACAACACAAAGCCAACCTAGTTGTACTCTGCCTGTTCAGTTTTTATTGCCATCCATTCAGGAGCAATGATAGTAGAAGCACTACTCTATCATGAAACCAAAATAATACTAGCAGCTCTCTGAAGATATGCTTCATATATTCATATCTGCCAAATAGCATGTCTTGCTCACTTGAATGGTGAACATGCCCTTGCAGTACGTAAAGAGCTGGGCCAGTCTGCTGCCTCCTTAATTTCATCCTTAATTTCTTCAGTGTATTCTCCTAAACCATGGCTAACTGCAGCTTTTTTTTAACGAAGGCTAAACTGAACAAATAAGTAATACTAGTATTAAAGTATAGGTGGTTTATCTAAAGAATCTTTGACTCGGAATTCTTTTTGCACCGTTGCAGACGTTTAGGTGATTCTCTCCATTCCAAAATATAATCGCTTCTGGCTATTTATTATGAAGAAATATCTAGGTATATAGCAAAACGATGCTTATATTCTAGAATGAATATAATAGTAAATTATTAGCCTCTGTGATCTTATCAAAGCAATCACCTCTTTTCTGCAGCAAATTCACTATAGATAATCCAAATGCATCGGGACTATTCAAAGGCACGAGAGATAAGGAAAACCAAAAACCTTCTGTGAGTAGGGCTTTGCTATGGTTGAAATGGTCCAGGATGACTGGATGAGGCCCAGCTCAAGACATGGTCTCCATTGGACATTTGGTCCATTACAGCCTTTAATTAGCTGCGGGTGTATTGTGGTAGCCCACGGAAGGGGACTGAGTGCTATGTTTTCAGCCCAATCTGGTACAACTCAAAGCCCATCTATTAATGCTCAAAGGGCCCAACAATCTAGTAGATGGCCCACATGGACCGGATCCTGGGCCGTTAGTTCTACGAGGCCATGTGCTCTCTCTATAACGGAATAAGTTCACTTTGTGACCCTCAATATTGATCGAAATCTAATCTATGACCCTAAACCATAAAACCGGATATCTCGACCCCCTAACTCTTAAAACCGGTGCAATTTGACTCCCTCGGCGGTTTTGGAGAGCGGTTTCGCTGCCGTGGCGCCTACGTGGCAGTATTGACTCGGTCTCCTTTCCACGTGACGTTGACGTAGCGCTTAGGTGGCATTAAAAATAAAAAATATGTGTGGGACCCAATTGTCATTCACCAAAAGTATGGGTGGGACCCACTGATATGTGGGGCCCACATAAAATCATTCTCTCCTCATCCTCCCCTCTATTTCTCTTCCGTTCGCTGGCAGGTGGGCCCCGCTCGCCAGGAGCTTCTTCCACCTCTGTCCGTCGTCTGTTCATCTCTCCCGTAAAACTCAAGCACTGCCGCCTCCATTGATCTCCCTGCCCTATCGTTTCTCCTCTAAATTAATTAGAAAAATCGGTTCCTTGTGTAGTGGGCATCAATTTCCCCAACAAATCCCGCTTAATCCCGCACTAAATCGCCCTCAATCGATTTCTTAAACCGGTGTCTTCAATAGGGAGCTCCACCGTCGCCGGCGCCGTTTTCCGTCCGTGCGGTCGACCTTCTCCCCTCCGGCCTATATAAAGAGAATCCCCAAGACCTGCTCTTTCCCATCCCCGTGCCGCTCGAGCGCCACGCTCGCTCCATCGCCGTCACGCACTCCAGCCACCGTTAGGCGCTGCCCTAGACGTCGCCGAGTCTCAGTGAGGCCACTGCCGGCTTCGTCGTCTCCTCCTCTTCCTCGGCCACGCCAGCCGTAGCCAAGACGATGAACTCGAGAGTTGGCCGGCGGTGGCGACACAAATCGGTGCGTGAGGAAGACCGGAGGAGCCAGTGGAGGAAGAGATTGG